CCTGACCTAAATATTAAAACGAAGTCTTTTCCGTCAGTATTTTTGACGCTCTTTCGATTTCCTCTTACTGCGTGTCGCTACGTAGCCCAGGAGCCGAGTTAGAGTGGGGACGTGAAAATGCCCCCCCCCCCCAGCACGACACGGAAAGCACAGGCCACCAGCACGGCGCAGGTTAACTACCTAATATATAATGGAGAGGTCGCAAAATTGACCTGGCCATCTCAATGTAGATATTTGGTCGTCTGAGGATTACGCAAGGCGAATGTTCGGTGAGATCAGCAGGTTTCTATGGCGCTTATTTAAAGTCGACCATGCACACTCACATCATCAAAAGTCGTCTTCTATACTACGCCGGCCGAAGACATTCTTAACCTTCGTGCCACTATATGGGACAGTCTCACGCCTCACCCATCTGGCACTCATGCAGTCATGAGTGTCTGAGATTCTAAGCACGGCCACCCCGGTCGACCAGAGGCCCACAGGTCCACAGGTCACTTTGGATCAGTGAGTGAACCTGTATGTTTTTTTTTTTTTTGCAAAGAATACAGATTGTGCCTATCGATCCACGTATATTTTACCGTTTCGAATTCGCATGGGTGTGTGTTTTGAGAATAACATGTCCGTAGCCTGAGCTCGTTTCCTAATCCTAATATCGTGCTAAATATGCATAAAGATCAAGGCTTTTGATAAAAAACACCGGGCTGCAAATTGCATTGGATTTTATGAAAAATCAGCGAAGCGTTCTTATACTCGTATTTTGCAACACCTAGTAAATAATGCATGAATATATGACGTTACATTTTAGATTGACCCCCTGTCACTAGCTCACAATGGCGCCCCTCTCAAGGGAAAAGTCGCCCCCTCGAGCACCATGCCCCCCTTTCGCTGATTTCTGGCTACGCCACTGTAAACAGCCCCCCCCCCCCGCCACTAATAGGGGTAGCCAGGAGCCTGCCACTAATAGGGTTAACGCAACTTTTGCCGATCGATAGAGAATGAACCAGGAATTCACATGGATCCTAAAAATATGCATTTTCAAAAATCATAGGCGGATACAGATCATTGAGATTGGGGGTACACAAAAAGTATAGTAAATAAGGTTTTTGTTGGTACTATTTCTAAAAAGGGTGGTAATGGTTTTGTTATGTTACAATTTTCTTATGAGAGAACGACTACAATTGTATTGGTCATGCATAGGTGGTGTCAGGGCACATATGTTGGGAGGTAAAACATAACCCCCTTTTTTGGACGCCTGGATCTGCCTATTATAGCAAAAACGTGTCAAAAGAGGATGCACAATAACTTTGTATATGTTATCACATGATAACTTTCATTCACTGATCGTAAAACTGGTGCATACAGTTATAATACACCAGCATCGTGATCTTCACCCAAATAACTCTCTTCACGAATAGGACCCCCCAGGACCCCCCAATTCCCAGTGCTCTGGATCCGCCCCTGGTAAAGTCACGAACTTGAAATTTTCAGGGAATGTGCCCAATTTAGTTTTAGAAAAAGTCAGAAAATTTCAGCATCGTAGCTTCAGCGGTTTCGGAGATATTCTCAAAAAACCTGAGGGTTGATGAAAACAACCCCCCTGCCACTAATAGGGTTAAGATTGGTTCAGAAACCTGGCCGTGATAAACAGTCTAAAATGTATCTGCAATTTGCCCGTTTTACCCCCCCCCCCCCTCTACCCCCCTATTGACATTTTTTAATTTTCATTTTTGTAGAAATGTAGATCACGTTGAGCGAAATCGAATGCCGTTTGAATTGTGAAAATCGGCCCGTTAGATCTCGAGATATCAGGGGGGGGGTCGTAAACAGCCCCCCCCTGCCACTAACCCGGCAGTTGCTGGGGTATTTCGCCACCCACCGTTTGCTGGGGGGGGGCGTTAAACGCCCCCAGCCGATAACTCGAGAACCAATAGGCGCAGCGAAACGCACGAGGCGGCAAACGAAAGAACGCGACGAGACGCTTCAGATGAGTACTTTAAAGTTGAATTTTGAGGTCACAGGTCAGGTCAAGGTCAGGTCAAACACCTGAAATCGGGCTTTCAGTAGCATGGACTTCAGGACTTCGCAATGGGCGCCTCTCGTCATAAACTCTGTCAAAACGGTGCACAATCCATCATATAAGGCCTACAAGAGTGTCAGCTCCATGCAGGGGTCAGTCAAGCATAGGTCAGGGTCAAGGTCAGGTCAACCGGGCAGGCACATATCCCCGAAAATAAAAACTGATATTCGCAGCCTGTGACTCATGTTTTATGGGTAATTTGGGGCGTAGAACACGATGGTGACATTCATTTTATCATATGTGTACGTGTTTGGCTAAAAAAGTTCAATTTAAGAAATTCATGTATCATGGTCGTGAAGTAGTCACGAGAAATTGCCAAGATTCAGTTCAAGATTTTGGAAAATGCGGAACGATAATCAATAATCGAAGATAGCCATTTGATTCTCCATGGTATTGGCAGTCTAATGGCGTTTCTGGCATGTCTATATGTCTATTTGTGATTTTATATGATTTTTTGAACATATGCCGTTTTTGGTCGAAAACTCAGAAATCATGACGTCACTAAAACCTCGATATCTCAAAAATTTCCCGACCGATTTTTTTGAAACTTTGTCACAATAAACTTCAATCAATTCCCTACAGGTACCCAAAATTTGGCGCGCCTGCGGCGCGCCGTTTTTATGCTATGGCCCGGCGAAAAAAGTGGGGGCGTTTAACGCCCCCCCCCAGCAACTCGCGGGCTAATAGGGGTAGCCAGGAGCCTGCCACTAATAGGGTTAATATGACAGTGAGAGTTTATTCATAAGAAATAAACAATAATATGTTCATGTTGCATAATCAATGCATTGTTAACAGTGTTTAACTTCCAAGCAACTTCCAAGCACATCCCCCGGTAGGTATCCCTGGTATTCTTGTCTTCTAGCACACAATTACAAATATCCGCCGATCCGAAGTCCGAGACCTAGGAGTAAATAATCCTCGACTCCAAGCTTACGTTTGCCGCCCACGTTGACCAGACTGTTGCCAAGGCAAACCGGATGTTAGGACTGATTATCCGTAGTATGCAACTGTCTCGACGCTACAGCAGAGCCGCCTTTGATCACAAAACCATGTTGTGTACGTACTACGCTCATGTGCGTTCAATCATCGAGTATGGCTGTGTCATATGGGCTGGAGCGGCTGCATCTCACCTGACAAGGCTCGAGCGAGTGCAGCACAAGTTTCTGATGTGGTTAGCTCGTTACTCTGACAGGCGCTCTGACGACATGGACTACTCGGTTTTACTCTCACATTTTAAAGTGCGCTCCATCAAGTCTAGATTCATACAGTACGATATCATGTTTTTATTCCACATTCATCGTGGGAAGCTGGACAATGATGTGTTAGTCGGTGCGTTCGGTCTTGCCGTATACCGGCACGGAGGACGAGGAGCACGGTTCTGTGGAACACACCAAGATACCTATAAGAAACAGGTAGGTCCGATGTTTTGAGTAAAGCCCTGGTGACGTCACTGACATTTCTTATATGGAGAATTTCGCCCATAAGGAAAATATTTTACATACGAAAATTTGTATTTCATTAGGAAAAAATACATTCTTTCAATTTCATCATGAAACTTATATAATTTAATTAAGAAACTTGAAATCCTTTGAGTGCTTGTCCCAACCCCTGCTATACCTTTGGTCACGTGACTGTCATGATAAACTTTGTGTTTTGCAATGTTATGACTTAAACAGAAGCAATAAATGTTACAAGCGTATTATTTATGATGTTTTAGGCAGCAATCGTGCAATAACATCCTTGAATTACATACATTCTGCTTAAAAGAGGTCACGTGATACTACCAGATTGTGCTCGGACAGCATCTTCTTGAACTTCGATTTTGAGTACTTTTTACCTTCATTGAGGCCTAATAACGGACGTTTTTAGTTATAAAATGAAGCAATGAATCTATTGAGGTCAATATTTAATCATTTTTGCACTTTCAAGCCGGGCTATCCTGGCATGAACTTCGGCCAGTTTGTGTGTGAAGCCTATGGTGAAGGGAAAACTTCACGCCCGGCTGACGTCACAGACCTCGGCTACCAAATCGTGTCCGGTGGGGGTCGGAACACACCGCGTGCGCGAGTGAACACTGTGCAACGATGTCTGTTTGTCAGGATCCCAGCTGCATGCAACTCATTCTTGCTCCACGACCCTACCACCGACTTCTTTACTGGTAGTTCATACTCATTTAAAACACGCGCTATCGGATTCACAATTACGCAAGGCACTTTCATGTGATCTTTTACATCATACTCACGTGCTTTACTTTTATCGATCTTGTATGTAGGTAGAGGTACCGTTTACGAGACTTCTTACTTATTAGTCATAGTGTGACCTCTTACTCCTTAGTCATAGTTCTTTCTCATGAACCGATTTTATGTCTACTGTTCTTGTGATTTTATCTTGTACTCAATAACTGTATACTCCTGCCGATTATAAATTTACCGTATTTATCACATTTTCTTACGTTTACTCTAATGTAGGTACTGTCATCTTGTGTATTGCTTGCAGCTTGTGTGTAACTGACTTAGTCAGTAAAAGGGCGATGGGCCTGTTGGCGATCTAATAAATACAAATACAAATATAAATATACACGTGCGCGTGACAACTGCATGACAGAACTCTTAATTTGATATACTTCACAACAATACGTTCAAGGGTTTGGAAGATATTGCCGAAAAACCGGGGGAGGCTCAGAGCCCCCCCCCCTAGTCATGCGCGGGTTAAATGATCGCATGAACAATTTTGTTTGTTGTTGTATGGTTTGTGACAATGTGGTGTGTTTTTTTTTTCAATTTCGAGCCTAGGGTACCAAAGGCTGATTTCACCCTGACCGGGAATGAGTTGAGCTCCGAGGCCGCGGACCGTTGACTGGGATGACTAGAGACTGGGGTTGACTGGACGCCGACCGTTGACTGGGGTGCGCGCTGTGCCGCAGATGGACCAGCTATCGGACGAGCAGCTGCAACGCTCCACCGAGCAGCTGCAGACGGCCGTCCGGCAGCTGCAGCTGGAGACAGACGTCTTTGAGCGCTTTCTCCAGCGGGTCGACCCATGGGAGCACGCCGCCAGCGCCGCGCCCGCCGCCAGCTCCGTCCAGTCGGCCACGCCCTCAATCAGCCCCGCCCAGTCAGCCTCTGACGTCAGCACCAGTGACCAATCAGCGCGCAGCACTCTACGCGGCGCACGGCGCGCCGGCAAACCGAGTGGCAAGGTATGTAGGGGAGAGTGAGGTGGGTTGTATCAGTTTTTACTCCGAGACCCATAACCTCGTAACTATCCGTGATAAACTCATTATTTCCATACTATCCCCTTCCTTGATTCTTCTGCTTTTTTGTGCAAAGTAACTTTTCCGCTACCTCTACCAGTTTTTCTTCTACGGTCTCCCGAATAGAACAATGTTTTTGATACAACTTGCCCCATGGCTTGGGTGAGTTGTATCACATGGTGGGGTAATTTGTATCACTATTTCACGTTTCAGGGAGTGTGCTTGCTACTGGTTTTGAACATAACAACAACATTAAATGGGGTCAATGCAATGTATAGGTATGCTCAAAGGCTTCACTTTATCAGACCAAACTTAGGTCAATGCAATCCGAACGAAACATCAACAGACTAGACGCAAAAGTGGCCCGTTAAGAGCAAAGAAGCTAACACATTGTGCCGAAATGGAACGAGCATTGACTAGCTACCTACAAACGCGAGCCAGGGCTTAGCTTTCGCGATCAAAAGCAACATACCCATACATACATACATACATACATGTTACAACATACCCCACCCGGCTCTGATACAACATGTACCTAGCCGCCATCTTGGAAAAAAACATCCTCGTGCTAAAAAAAACAGCGGACAGCTGGAGAAATCCGTTTTCACTCACGCAGCCTTAGAACCTACCCTCACCACCGCTACGGAGATCTTTCAAATTCGTGCACATCTAAATGCCCAGAACACACATTTTCTTGCAACTTATTTTTTTAGAATGACATTAAAAAAACATAAAATCGGCTCTCACCTAGAGACGCGTCCAGTCAGCCACAAGACAGAACAGGGAAAGATGGCGCCCGGAAAACCTCGTCGGCTGGTCGTGTCGCGAGCGCCATCCATTGGATAAGTTTGGCACAATTCGCCCTGATACAACTTGGACATGATACAACTCTCCCCGCTCTCCCCTACGTACGGCTCTCCAGTAAAACAGTGGTTGGTTTTGCTTTTTAGGTTATATCTGGTCTTACATCAAGTGCAAATGCATAAGTATTTTGTGCCCGATTTGTGCGTATGCACATTTGCCACGACACTGTGGTCTGTGAAATTGCATCGTCGTAAGCCAAATACTTTCTGAGATATTTAGCAAAAACCTCATTTTCTGCCGTTTGGGGCATTCTGGCCGCAGTCTTCCTGGGATCGCCTATGACATCCGTGGTGCCACCTAGCGAGAGGGACGCAGAAACACAGAATCATGAATGAATCGAGCGCGTAGTAAACGGAGCATGAAAGGGAGAATCAGCAGAGGCTATCCGGGTGGCCGGCGCGCAGCGTGCCCTGGCACCGGCTGACCCTTCGGCCTTCGGACTACCTGACATGATGCATATGAAACAGTGGCGTAGCTAGGGGTCTAAGGGGACACGTACCCCCCCCCCCATCGGGTTCAAAGGGACCCTCGGGTTCGAAGGGCCCTGCGGCGCCATTTGACCGCTGAAGGTTAACGATGGCCATATTTCGACTAAGAAGGGCCCCATGGGACTCGTTAGAGCACCTCATGGGCCCTAAATAGCCACACTAAGATCTCCATAAGGACCTCACACCGGCTTCTGAGGACCTCTTGCGGTTTTAAGGGCCCCTCGGTGGTCTCCAAAGGCCCGTTACTGGCCTCTGAGAGTTCTTACCGGCCTCTGTGGGGCCAGTTCTAGGGGCATTTCCCACATGTGATGGTCCCATACTTATTTTTCCGAGGGCCAAATAACGGTAACTTTGGGGACCCTCATCGGCGCCTATGAGGGGGGCCCACACCGGTGTCTCTGAGGGTTTCACACGCCCAACTCCAGTGCCTACACCAGAGTGCCTACACCAGTGCCTATTAAAGTCCTAACACCTGCGCATCTAAAGGCCACCCACTGCACTGGTGAGTCCTGATGGTCTTATAACCAACACCATTGAGTTGGAAATGAAAAACTGGCCATAAAACATGCATCGCACAGCCTTAGTAAAGTTGGGTATGTGGTGACTAGTGATGTCAATTATAGAAAATCGGAATACCGATACCAAACCAAATACCAACCAAAACCACGGAGAAATACCGAAACCGAACCAACTTGGGGAAATGACAGTAATACCAACTTTTTACCGATTTCTTAGCCTCTCATGCATTAGGGAGAGATCATGATTAGTGATGTCAATTACGGAAAATCGGAATACCGATACCAAACCAAATACCAACCAAAACCGTGGAGAAATACCGAAACCAAACCAACTTGGGAACATGAGGAAAATACCAAACGTTTACTGATTTCTTAGCCTCTTCAACATTAGCGAGGGTTCATGATACCAACAAAATACCAAACACATTGGGATTGAAATACCAAATACTGAGTTGGTATCGGTTTTGTATCATTATACCAAAAAGTTGGTATCCGATTGACATCTCTAGTGGTGACCCTTGGTGACCTTTGGGCTTTGGTGACCTGACCTGTGACCTGACCTGGTATGACCAGTGACCTCTAAAAGCAACATATGTGCTAGACAACTGACGCCCTATCGCTGATTTTCGACAAAATGCGTTGTACTCGGTGTTATAGCGCTTTCCTTAGAAGCCCCGTGAACGGTGAAACATTTTATCTTTGACCTGACCTGTGACGTCATCGGTGACCCCGAGGTCAATGAAATTTGGTTTCCCTTGGCAAAGATGACAGGGCTATCGAACGCCGTTTGAATTTTCCGGATTCGTCCAGTAGTTTCGGAGATACGGGGGGGGGGGGGCAAAAAATGCCCCCCGCACCGCGCGGAAGGTGGCCGGGAGGCCCACCGCCTGCCGGGTTAAAGTATTCTGTTCATGTAGGTAGATACAGGTCTCGCGGGTTTTAACGGTAGGTTTTGCACCTGTGTACTTCATGCTATATCTTCGTCGTCTTAAGCTTTTAAGTGTTGAAGATGCGATCGACTTGTTGGGTAACAAGCCGGCCATGATCGTGTAAAATGGCTTCATCGTAGATCGATTAGTTTCTGAGATATAACCGGAAATGTAAAAGTGCAAAACCTACCGCTTAATCTCGCGAGACCTGTACCTACCTATCTTTCTTAACCCCTTGCAAGCTTGTGCAGCTATGCTTCATGAGCTTGAGAATCTATAGCCATTTGCAATGTGCTATTGTCTATATGTTGAACTAAAAACAACTTATTTTTGCTATTTGGCTGCCATCAACTTGGCTGACATCAAAAGTAGGTATCCACGGCCGGTTGACGGCTGGCTGCCCACAGTTTGCCACGGCTGTGGGTGGCTGTGGCTGTGGGGCCACGGCTGCGGGGCGGCTAGGCTGTGGAGCATTGCAGCCGCGCAGAACTCTAGTCTCTCGCCATTAAAAGTCAGCGGGGAAGGGGGGAGGGAATATGGAAATTGCTAGTTTGGCTCCGGAAATGATCTGCAACTACATATCTCAAATTCTCAAGCACATGGAATCGTGATTTCATGCGCTCCTTGCAAGGTCTGATGCTTTTCTTTTGCTTTGTTGATCTTGCGTGACGTCATTTATCACGTTACTAGCTCGCCCAGCCTGTGCCAGCCTCTAGGCGGGGCACTGACGACCTTAACATTATCAGTCAATGACAAGTGCCTTTATTGTTCATTTTTTATTAACAGACCATATTGATAAAAATTAGGTAGGGATCTCAAACTACCAATGCCAAAGTTTGGTTAAATTCAAACGCATATACAATGAGAAATAGCCGAAAAGGAATGTTCTACAGGGTCTGAAAAGCATAGTAGTAGACATTTCGTCTAGTCTGAAATGTGTCCTATTTTTCATACAAAATGTATTTTTTATCTTTAAGCGCCCGAAAGATATCGGCGCTTTGGGATAGCATTATAAAAAACGCTCGTAGGTATAAAAAAAATAATTCAAACGTCTCGCCTATCGGCTCGACGTTTAAAAAAGACCAATCTGTTAGGCTAATCCGTTCCCGTTAACTTGAAATCTAGGCTCTTTCTTGCTAACGTCATACACCTCTGGTCATATCTGGCAAAGACCTTGGCAATCTGGTAAAGACAATCGAAATTGCTCTCTAGCGCTGTCCATTTATATTTTTGAGACGAATGGCTCCGGATTATGTGGTTTTAGCATATAACGAGCAAAACTGCTATCTCAACTCCATTCCCCATGTTAGATATGAACATGTCCATTTAATATTTTTATTTTTTGCTTTCCGCGGTGTTTTGTGGTGGCGTTTTTCTTCTCAGGTGGACCGCGGTGGTGCGGTGCGGGCATTTTTCTCTTATTTTAATTGCTATCTGTTTTGTTTCTTTATTTTGTTGTTTCTTTCTTTTCCGCATCGTTTGCGGTGGCATTGTTGCCGGCGGGCTGATGGCGTTCGGTGTGGTATTTTTTCTTATTTTTATTGCGCTCGCGGATATTTTTTTTTTTGCGATTCGGAGCGGGCGTCCACGGCGGGCAGGGCGGCTGTTTTTTATGTATCGTTTTTTTTTGTTCATCTTTATTTTTTGGTGTTTGCTATGACTTTTTTCCGGCGGGCAGCGTTTCATTTATTTTTTATTTCGCCGCGTTTGGGGTGTCGTTGTTTGCGGTTGACTGCGGGCATGCGGAGACGTACAGTCCATGGCATAAGTAATGTGCGGTTTTAGTCCTGGGTATGTTCTGCTTTTGAACCTGAAGCTTAGGAATGAGTAGCCAGACCACAATGAAACTTTGAATGTAGCTAACCTGTATCGTTACCCTTGCAGCTGCAACTTTATCTATTGACGTCTTCTTTTCGATCACTCCGCATTAAAAAATCGCCAGTCACAGCCATCCATTGAGATTGGTAAAACCGCACATTACTTTAGCGGTGGGCTGTACAAGGCGGGGGCGTTTTTTCATTGTTTTTATTTTCCTGCGGCGTTTGTGTTGTCATTGTTAGCTGCGAGCGTTTCTTTCTATGTATTTAATTCAATTTCTAGGTCCTTTTTTCCTTTGGTCCGGCGATGGTAGGTATTGCATTGCCACTCCGTGTATCGGACTGTCAATAAAGAAATATTTCGTGTGGTCTGATAAATTTGTGACACGGAATGGAAAGAAATATACCATTCCAAAATGTCGGAAAATAAGATATTGGCCACTTGTCAGCCGCTGATAGTCTGTTTAGGTCGGCTGTGACGCCGCCCCGCGGCTGTGCGTGCAGGGACGGGTCGGCCTGAGCGGCGGCGTGCGAGGAGCGCCACTCAGTCGGCTGACACCTGAGCAGCGCTGTGACGTGGCCAGCCGGGAGCTGGAGGAGCTCAACGACTCGCTGCGCCAGCAGGAGGGCCAGCACGAGCGCAGCCTGCACAACCTCAGGCAAGCTCAGCGGCTGGCGCCAGGGGGGGGGAAGGGAGGGAGGGAGAGAGAGAGAGAGAGAGAGAGAGAGAGAGAGAGAGAGAGAGAGAGAGAGAGAGAGAGAGAGAGAGAGAGAGAGAGAGAGAGAGAGAGAGAGAGAGAGAGAGAGAGAGAGAGAGAGAGAGAGAGAGAGAGAAAAAAAACAGTGGTCCACGGTCAGTATTCTCTTCCCGCCGCTCTGCTTCCGTGAAACCATCTCACCGGACTTGATCTCACCATTACGAAGTCAGGATGAACACTGGCGCCATCTACAAAATTAGTACAAAACGACATCTGTTCGTGGCATTTAACCCTCGCCCTGGCAGGGGGGGGGGTCGATGCGACCCCCCCTAAGGTTTTTCAAAGATAGCGTAAAAACGGCGGCGCGCAGCGCCGCCAAATTTGGCACAGCCTATGGGGCAACCTTTTTACATGTGACCTGAAAATTTCAGGTCCGGGTGACCTTGGGTCAGGTCACCAGGTCAGAAAAACCGGTACAAGGTCATGGTCAAATTTCAATTTTCTTTTCGCACCTGTCCTGCTCACAGTTTTGAACTGATTTCCTTCAAACTTTCAGGGTGTGCTAAGTTCACCGAGTTGTATAACATATAGTTCGGGTTTTTTGAGGTCACTGACCTGAGGTCAGTTAGAGGTCATTACGTCGTAATGTTAAGCCTATGGGAAAATACAAAATTAGGAAAATACTGGGGATATCCGCTTCGTTCTATCACTTTTGTGCTTTGAAACCACAGTACTTAACAGCAGGTCACTTGGTGCTTCTTTGTTTGGTGTACTTATCCATGGGTCAGGTCAAATGAGGTCAACTGAGGTCAAATGACGTTTTTGCCAATAACTTGGCACATAATGACGCTAGAGCTTAAAAATAGTGTCATTGTGTTCCTGGTGATCAGCCGAATCGAATGATATGCAATATGATGCAATTTGGTTAACTTGAACTTAATTGATTAATTAAAGTTTACTTAAAAATTAAGAAAAACTTTAAGTACACGTAAGAAAGCTAAAAAGTATATCATTCGACGCGCCTTGACGTGCTGAGTTCACTGGTGCTTTTCTTTCTGCTCTATCTTAATTAGATCAAAAGTTATAAGCGAAAAACTTTTGACCTGTTTTTAGCGAAATTTTTACATTTATACCCCCCAAAACCCCCCTAAATATTGACCTAGAGCAACCAACTTTGCACAGGGGCGAGAACTCCGGGGGGCCCACCTACCTACTAAATTTGGTGTTTCTAGGTGCCATAGGGGCCAATCGCGAGGGGGGGGGGGGGTCGCATCGACCCCCCCCCCTGCCAGGCCGTGTTATGAAAAATGCCCTGCCAGGGCGAGGGTTAAGCACAATTCACTTCGTGGACGCAAATGTTTTTATGCAAAATTACGTGGACGATAAGAAAAGAACCCAAGGAAAAAAGCGGGGTCACGGAGTTGGAGTTGCTTGACGTCATGGCGACTAGCCAGGGCCAAGTCTTATACAGGGCGTTAACTGGATATTAGCGGTACACGCTGCTCTCGATTTTTGAAAGTTGTGGGTTGGTGTAATTTCCCCCCATTATTTCACGGCTCCTGATTCCAATGATGCTTAAAAAATGGAAATCAAATAGCTGGTCGGACTTAAACAATTGGTAAGTTCCTATGCCGCTCGGTAGAATTTCTAGGTAAATTTTCACGGTAGCGTTTTTTGCAGTGGTCGATAAAACTTCCAACGTGCCAACGCTCGTTGGAGCAAGATATTAGCAATACTTGGAAGAGCTGGAGACAGTCCGCCCGTCTACATGGATGCTTCATTACGCCTAAAATACAGCATTGACTCATGACTTTCTAATCGTCCGGTGCTGTCAGTGGTCGATAAAACTTTCAACGTGCGAACGCTCGTTGGAGCAAGATATTAGCAATACTTGGAAGAGCTGGAGACAGTTCGCCCGTCTACATGGATGCTTCCTTACGCCTAAAATACAGCATTGACTTATGACTTTCTAATCGTTCGGTGCTGTTATCGGCTGCTCGGTACCGCGTGTATGTTCCCTCATTCACTCCTGGTCACCCTTTGGTCACCCCTCGCTTGGTCGGGCCAGTCGGCTATTTTTATCCTCTTTCCGGCTAGGCCACCCGCTGAGCTCCCGCCGTGCCGCGCCGTCTGCGAGGGACCTGACCCTTCTGCCGGCAGAGGTTTCTCCAGGTGTCTCCAAGGAGCCATCGTAGCGCTAAGGGTGTGCTCCGCATACACATACATTGATTTTCGCCCTTACTAGCAGGGCCGCTGGCACGCGTTGGCAGCGCCCCGCGGGCATTTTTTCGCTTAGGGTCATTTTGTGGTAAGGAGGATCAGAAAATCACCCTTCCAACTTTCTCCAGGCCTGGGTGTTTTATCGAGCGCGCCTGAAAACGCACAGTGGACCGGAATCACACTTCGATTGCGTTACTTCGTATTAGGTAATACGATCAAAAGTGCGCTCTTTCTCAATCAATAAGGACAAGTGCGTTAAAACACACTTATAAACTTTTAAATTAAAAGCTTTAAAATGTTAAATTTCAACATTTCTACTCTGATGATAATCGTTAGTTGTTTCAGACTTTGGCATGAAAACGTAGGCATTCAGATCCACCGTGTGACCGGTCACCGTATGCAGTAGTGTGATGGTGTGAGTTGGGGAGTCAAGGCCGTGTGGGGAGAAGGTGAGGAGATACCGGTGTGCCGACGCGGCGGATGGCAGTGATTATAGACAGTTGTGCATGTATTGTTCATCTAGCATATCATTTGCTTGGGCAAATTTATAGGCATGGCGCCTGTTTATCCGTCTAATTCAAAAGAAAGGTGTGAGTACCAATACTGGTCGTACTTTTCATAGTCTCAAAGAGAGCCTGAAGAAACACACGGAAGGATTACATAAGGACCGGCCTATTCGGAAAGAAAAATGCTGGCGTCGGCATTGTTGGGCACTGGCCAATATCAGTCTGGGACACAACCATCAGGTAAGAAGGACGTTTAAATTATCGTTGGTTGTATACGTGCATTCTTGCATTGTTATGTTTTCTAATGGTGGTCATATGCAAGTTAGTGTAGTGTTGATGTTTGTATGCTGCTCCAGAACGTTTCGGTGCCCAAGTAGATATCTTGGTCGAAACGACACCATCCTTTAGAAATTAGTCACGGCTTAATTAACCCTCGCACTTAGAGAGGTGGGGCCTGAGGGGTGTGTCGAAAGCCCCCCTCGTTTTTTTTTCGCGAATAACTCGCGCAAACAGTGGCTGATCGCGACAAAACTTACAACATCTACAAGTGAATTCATTTTGTACATACCATAAATGTTTCATGACCATGACCCAAATGACCTTTGACCAGTCACCTGCTTCTTCAGATTATTCAGGCCGGAAGCGAGATTAGCGCATACTCGTATGTCAGCACACATATTCCGTGTGTTTTCTGTTTTTTTTTTGTAGCTATTAACGTTGTAACATGTGAGATGTTGTTTGTGCCATGCATAATAGTGGCTCCAAAGGTCACTTGAAGGTCATGTCAAAGTCATTCACCTTAGATGACCTTAGATGACTTTTCGGGGTGTACATGCTTGTAAGGTAGTTTTTGGAGCTGATTTCGAATGAAGCGTCCATTCGAACATTTAGGAAGTAATTGTGGTGCCTATGTAACATGTCACTATAAAGTTTTAGCCCGATATCGTTGAAAATAGCTAAGGTATACGCGTCATAGTCAAAACTTCACTATAATTAACTTTTCAAATCGTACGTTTTTTTCGTGCATTTTAAACATCGTACACCAATATAAAAAGTACCGGCGAGTTACTGAGCTTAAATAGCATCCAATAGACATCCTTTTTGTTGAAAATTTTCAACTTTAAAATTTGACCTTTTTGACCCGAAAGTGACCTGACCTCAGCTATACCTATTAAGCTGAAGATGACCTTCAATGACACAAACGTCACTTATTTCAAAATCTATGGCCTGAATGAACCATATAGGTCACGAAACATGTGACATGTGACCCGTGACCGAGTCATGATTTAAGCTTTCTGTTGTGATGACCTGGCCTTGACCTGAAAATCAAAGTACAAGTTTTTCAGCCTCAGGGTATCTTAACCCTCGCATGTGTAGGGGGGATCGGATGGACCCCACCCCTCCCCCCATGGTTTTTCGCAAATAACTCGCGCAAAAAGCGACCGAGCGCAACGAAACTTTCAGTGCCCTCGAGTTGATCAATTTTACACCTACCCTGAAAATTTCATGACCCTGACCCAAGTGACCTTTGACCTGTGACCTATTTCTCGAGGCCATGTTTGGCCGGAATCGCGATTCGGCGTATGTCGGCTCGCATTAGCCGCGCGTTTGCAAGCTTCTCGTGGTTTCAAACGCTGAAACACGATATTTGATGCTGCTCCCATGCATTTGGGTACATGTCAAGGTCACCTGAAGGTCAGGTCAGGTCATTGACCTTTGGTGACCTCGGTTCACTTTTTCGAGCTGTACATGTTTCTAGGCTAGTTTTTGGAGCTGAATTCGAATTTAGCATTCATTTGAACATCTACGAAGTAGTTTTAGTGCCTTTGTAACATGTTACGAAGCTGTGAGAGGCGGTTGACACGTACTACGAATACCCGTCCCGACGCCTATTGGTTGACCTGACCTGACCTGACCCGACCTGGTCTAAATGCTTGAAGACATCATTTGTGATCAGAACTAACACGATATTCGTGATCAGCACCCCGAAAAACCCTTTAGCAGCCACACTTTACGACTTTCTAACAGGTCCCGATATTCCCGACTTTGGGTCATTGACCTGACCTGGAAGGTCAACTAATGACCTAGGACCTTAAAATCGGGTATCATCGGATTCCTCTCGTCAAGGGCAACAGGCTCGTTTTTCCGCGAAGCTCTAGCTCTCTTTACTCTCAATCTTTACTCTCGCCAGCTGCGAGGGCTTTTTTCATAACGCGGACTGTGAGGGAAAGGGTT